GCTCATTGGTCTTTCTAAAGCTCGTGATTTTCTAAGCGAATCTGATTTTTTTTAGTGCCTGGGATTGTCGTCACGAGCTCAGCCATGCACTTGAGACCCACTGGAGCCGAGTTAAGTGCGTAGCTGGGCAGGGCTGGAGCCAAGCATGTGCTTTGCTGACTCGGGGGGTCAGGGAGCACAGACAGGGACCAGCACAAAGCGATTTAGCAGGTGGCAGCTTCCAGCGTCCCCCGGTGGAGACACCAGCATGTGGGTATCCCCTGCCAGGGGACTGGCATTGGTGCATGTGCCAGCTTCACCAGTGCAAAGGGGTCTCCCAATCCACTGCACTGCGAGCCCAGAGAGACCTCTTGGTCTGTGTCCTGGGCAAACTCCCTGCCCTGGGGGAGCAACGCGGAGCTGGCCAGCCCGTGTGTCCCCGCGCCATGCCGCTGGAAGCCAGGGTGTCTCAGGGAAGCCTGGGGCTGGGCTGGCAATGCCAGTCACAGCACATACCCCTCCCAGCGCTGCCCTGGGGAAGCGACATGGAGCTGGAGCAGAGAGAGCCTGGAGCAGGGGCCTGGTACTAGGCCCGAACCAAAGTCAGCAGAAGTGATGCTCTGAGCAAAAGTCTGGCCCTGTGGGACACTGAGCCAGAAAGGGTTAAGCAACTTGCAGGTGAAATGACCCAAATTCTGCCTTTGAAGCCATATTAGAAAAGGAGCCGGGAGCTGTGTTTCTGGCTTCTGGGTGAGCCGCACGGTATCAGAGCAGCTGGTTTGTTGCTGGTTTGGTGAATCGAAGTTTCAGAACTAACCAGTGGGGGATTGTCGGCCCCACTCTGCAGTTTGCCCTGATGGAGCAATCTCAGTGTGGCCCCCCCAGGCACCATTCACACCCTGTCACCAAGCAGAAGCTTCCTGCAAGTTCTCCATCTGGTGCATGAACTCGGCCCCGGTATTGCCGGCATTGCCAAAACACAGTGACTGTGTAACCACATCCCAGCACGAGATTCCCCTGCCTAGTGCGCGATAAGGAACCCTCACGTCTGCTACTAAAATAAACCAAAAAAACGAAATAAAATAAAAAATCAA